TTCATAAATAACGGAAAAAATAAGCTATGAAATTTTCCTTTAAAATAAACCATTTTGAGTATTTCCATTTTATCTCAGTTTTTATCTCTTCTATTTATAACATCTGGCTTTTGGAAACCCACAATTTTATCCTCCTTTTTGGCAATTTATTGTTAAATAGTTAAAATTATGGGCTGACAGGAACAAGCATAAGCACAAGATTAAGGTTTTTATTATGTAAGGAAGAAAGAGATAAACTCCAGCAGTAGTTGCTTTCTAATTATTTTTCAAAGCTTTTCACGGTAGCAGCAGTGGTACAAATATAGCATTCCAATCTTTCTTTTTTTCCTGTTACCAAGCCAAGTTTGAATTCTCTCTTTAAATTAATCCAAGTGGCATTATTCCTGTTTCGTTTAGATTTTTCCAGTTAAAATGAAATTTTGGGGGGCTTTTTTACCTGATCAAAATTATTAACCTTCACTTCTCCCCTCAAGGTTGTCCTGGGTTGTTTCACCTCAGCACCTGGATGAGCATTAAACCCATTCAGAATCTCTTTTATTTAGCGTCAAAGGTGCTAGCTTTAAAAATAAAGTACAATTGGGCCGACCCCGTGGCTCACTCGGGAGAGTGCAGCGCTGGGACCGCAGCGGCACTGGGAGGGCCGCGGGTTCAGATCCTATATAGGGATGGCCAGTGTGCTCAGTGGCTGAGCGCGGTGCGGACAACACCAAGCCGAGGGTTGCAATCCCCTTACCAGTCACAAAAAAAAAAAAAAGTACAATTTATTTGCCTGTATGTAACAGTTTGGGCAGTATGGATCTGTATATGTTGCATCTCACAGGTACAGGCCAGCAATCTATAGCCAAATACAGTAATTACCAATCTGTAGCATGCATCACATGCAGTTGGAGGGCTTGTTAAAGCTCAAATTGCTGGGATCTATCGCCAGAGTTTCTGCTTCAGTAGGTCTGAGTTGGGCCGGATAATTTATTTACACTTCTAAGTTCCCAGGTGATGTTGATGCTGCTGGTCCCAGGATCATACTTACAGAACCACTGCCCTAAAATATACTATATACGCAGGAAAGGGGGAAGAGGGGATCAGCTGTGATTCATACTAAAATGTATTCTTATATTTAAAGGAGAGAGAGGGATAAAGGCAGAGGCTCCTGCTTGACTCTGATTCTCAAGCAGACTCTTCCTCTATCTTTTTTCTACCTTTTTTCTTTGGTCACTGGTTGGTACAGAAATGGTATAAGGATTGACCCCTGGACCTTGGTATTATCGGCACCACGCTCCAACCAACTGAACTAAACTGCCAGCCTGTCTCTTCTTCTTTTATGATAGGTTTGAGCTTGCTGAAAAGGCTACTCCAAATCAGTGAGCTTAAATCCATCATTTTATGGATGGAAAGCCTACAGTGAGTGTGATATTGTAAAATATATATTTGATCTTCCTCCCTGTTTCCTGACATACAGTTCCTAAAACCCTTGGAATTTCCCAAGTGATAAGAATGCCTTCTGTATGCTAGCTTCAGGATGGGGGCTGGTCACCAGAAATAGCAAGGCTTGATTAGAGGATTGAGACATTCAGCCTCACCCTCAACCTGGGGGGAAGAGGGTGGAGAGAGGGGCTGAAGGATGAGTTGATCACCAATGGCTAATGATTTAATCATGGTTACATAATGAAGCTTCTATAAAAACCCAAAAGGATGGAGTTCAGAGTTTCTAGATAGCTGAACATATGGTAGTTCCTGGAGAGTGGAAGCTCCATGCCCCTTCCCACGTACCTTGCCCTATGCATGTCTTGCTGTTCATCTGTATCATTTGTCAGTCATATACTTTTATAATAAACCAGTAAACATAAGTAAGTGTCTCCCTAAGTTCTGTGAGTCGCTTTGGCAAATTAATCAAATCCAAGGAGGGGGTCATGAAAACTCCAATTTATAGCTGTAGGTCAGAAGGACAAGTCACAACCTGTGCTTGCGATTGGCACCTGAAATGGGGGGCAGTCTTGTGGGACTGAGTCTTCCACCCGCGAGATCTCTGATGCTGTCTTTAGGTAAATAGCATCAGAACTGAACTGAATTAGAATACGCCCAGCTGGTGCCTGCTGAAGAATTGATTGCTTAGTGTATGGGGAAACCCCCCACATATCTTTTGTCTGAAGTGTTGTACTGAGTGACTGGGTGAGAATAGTGAAGGAAAAAAACACTTTGTTTTTTAATTTTTTTTCTCCCTATCTCAGTGAGATAGCTGCTGTGGAGTAGAAAGAACTCTGAACTATAGGTTGAACATATGAAATTTCCTATTTTGTAGGTCAAAATTGATCAAAAATTTTCATAAAGTTTACCCTAAAGGAACACATGGACTGGAACATTAGCTCCACCACCTGATTCTGTGACCTTGGAAAAATCTATTTATTTCTCTAAACTTTAAATATTAACCTTAAATAATAATACCCACTGTACAAGACAGATTTAAAAAATCCTCAATAATAAATATGATCTGTAAACTATAAGGTGCTATATAGATGCTGATTGTCATTTCTATTGACTTGACCAAAACCACACAGTATTAGACTCTTTCCATTGCCCTACAGTCCCTGATTTTTCTGATCAATTGTGGTTGTATGTGTTTCCTACAACCATAGATAGTAAACAATCTGAGGATTTCTTGATTTCTTCCTAATAGCAACCTCAGTACCTAGAACATATCCCAGGTACACAGTAAAAGCTGAATAAATAACCAGTGGGTTGAATTATTGGAATCAGAGTATACACTTAGACTGTAAGTTTACACCATAGGCATAGCAGCAAGACCAAGAGGGGATAGGAGTGAGGAGGCTGGCCCCAGAATTTTCTCAAGATGGACTGAAACGATTTGGTTATCTAAAAGATTGGTGTCTGGTCATAAAAGACCGCATTATTTTCCAACTGAGCTGAGAATATACTTCCTTCTGTTTCTCACATTAAACACTGTCCTAAACATATCCTTCTCTTTCTTTAATACCAATGTGGGTCACTTTTACAGAGGTTAAGCAAATGTTTGCAATGGTATCGATGGGAACAAATTGACATTTTCTTTAGTAACATAAAAAGCCCTATAGATCTTAAATTATGACTCATCAAAGAAGAAATTGGTTACACTTAATTATGTGTGCACCAGTCCAATGAATGCTAAATGGCCTAAGAAACTATTTCGTTGCATTCTCATTCTACACATACAAGCTGATAATGATGACAAGTATTTTATATACTGTATTAACTTAAGTAGTGGTCTGGCTATTAACTTAGTGATTTGACTAAGTACAGTGTTTGGTTGGGTCAGAGAATGGTGGCTAAAACAAAAACCGTAACTCTTTTTCACTGATCAAATTTACCAGATCATTACCCAAAGCTCTACTTTATTTTCTGCAGTGTTAATACAGTCTAGGTGATAAGAACAAGATTGCATTCCCATAGGTAATATGGAACTAGCTGAGGTAGAGATCTGAAAGAAAGAGATAAGAGTCTCATATCAAGTGAAACCTTGCCTGGGCATCCTGTCTGTCTCTGATAAGCATGAAGTGTCAAATATGAAATGAAGGCTATTCTATTAGTAGTAGTTGAGGCCTAGCCCCAGGCTAGTCATGACCATCTTTGAGTAGGTTAACCCACATAGCCAGGCACTGAATCTAGAACAGGCAGGTTTACTTAACATTCAGAGTGAACTACTAAATCAGTTGTTAGGGAAAGGTTCACCAGAAGTGGCTTGTATAGTCAAAAATTGTTCATGCAAAAACTCCGCAGATTGATGCCTTTTATTGGAATTAGATTATTTTCACTCAGTTCTACTCTGTCTTTGGATAAAAACTTCTGGTTTAAAAACACTAGGGTCAGATATGGCAACTCTAGTCACCAACAAAAGAATCTTCTAGGAACAATATCTAAGGGAAAAGCCATTCACTCATTCATTTCTTGTCCTATTCTTAGTGCCTCAGTATCTACATGGGATGCAGACTCCACGGTGTGAGATACTGGTGTCCTGAAGTCAGGTCTTAAAATGTTATCTGGAGAATGCTTTCAACCTTCCACAACTGCAGCTGTCAAGAGGGTACTTCGGTTTAGGAAAAAGCTATGTCAAGAGCAGAAATGGGGGGTTGGAGGGACGTGGCTAAATTCAGCAAGAGAGAACTTTGAGATGTAGATGCAAATCAGCACCATTTAAAACTAGTGTGAGGTCCTGTTCCATTAACTGAATTTGCATCTCCCAATCACAGAAATGATGTTTCCACAGCCGTGACATTCTAAATGTCATGAGAATTAAATGCAAGCGAAAAAATTCCCTCAGCTTGTGAAGATGATTACATGACACACAGTAAATGCAGACAAAGGGAAAACTTTCTCAATACTAATAAGAAAAATACCTAAGAAGTCATCACTTGAAGAATTATGGCTAGACTGCATTGTACTGGAAAATAAACGCACCTGGGTTAGAAATGAGGTCACCATCTGGGTTACAGTAGTACTTGAAGCAAAAAGCATTTTGAGGAGTGCACGCCCTCTCATTTTCCCTTCATTTAAGTTCTTGTACTGGAATAAACAACTCTGCTTACTAAGTCTATATTACATCTGACTAGAAATGTACCAAGCAAGTGTCAAAAGGACAACTCTAGTCAATTTTGTTTAAGAAACAAAATGCACTTACAAAATAGCTATATTTACTATCCCATATTCTATCCACAATTGTTTACAGATGGTGATGAAGACAACATGTTCCTGTTCCAAAGTAATAAGTCCTAATCTAACAAAATCACCTGGTGAATTTTAAAAAGAATTTCTGTAACATTCAAATTTAATACATAAATAGCATCTTTCTCATCAATGCCAGCAAAAAACTGACGCAACAGCTATGAAAACATTGCTTGCCTTCATTACATGTCTGCTTAAAAAATTGTCTTTGAATCACATTTCCAAATGAAATGGTCACATATATTGGTAATCCAGACTAGAAAAAAAAAAGTTTATTTTCACTGTACTACTTATTTTAAGTAAAGATATGTTCTAACCTGACCAAGTTCTTCATTAAGGTCTGAGGTGTTAACCAGGGCTCCTTCGTCAATTTCTTCATCATAAAAGTCCTTATCCCAGGAGATGAAGAAGGAGCCCAAGAATTTTTGCATTTCTACTGTGACATACATGGAGACAGGAATGATAAAGTTGAACAGAACCATAAATGATAGGAAGTCGGTGAACATTTTCAAAGCCTAAAATAAAACAGATAGTTCACACTAATTAGATGCACAGTTCTGTGAGATGAGTTAACTTTCATTAATTTATTTCAATGCTGAAAGCACTGCTTTTGCTATAAAGAAATTTCCCAGTGACACTATACCATTCTAGTCAAAATTATCATAGTATATGAGAACATTTAAGAACACCCTCAATTTTATCATCATTATTCAGTCTACACACCTTTTGTCTTTATACTTTTAACTTCATTAAGTTCTCTGCTCCCTCTGCCCCTAGATATGAATGTGAGATCAAAATTTATTTGCAGACATCTCTTATGCTCCTATCATGATATTTCACAAACTCATATTATACTAAAATACCAGAGCTTCTTGCCAAATTCAAATTCTTAACTAAAGGGCTAAAAACAAGCACAGATGCCTAAAGTTAAAGGGAAAAAACTCTAAAACTTATTAAATATTTAACGGCTTAGGGCCACCATAAAACCAAGAGAAAACCCAAAAGCTAACAAAAGGTATCATTTATCTGAGCGGCACTTCAATAAAGGGGGCTTGGTCACAAAGTTCTAGTTAAATTTTCAAAGGAAAACAAATTACCTTCAAAGTCTCCCGCTCCTTCTGAGTCTTTTGGTTATACCAAGGTTCATCATTGTGTGGGGTACTTTGCCAAACATATTTCAGAGTAGTGCATACTGCAGCTTTGGTCAGTAAGATAAATAAATATACAATCAGGAAGGCATTAATGGATCTGTAAAAATAAGATGGTATGGATTTTAAAACCACCTAAACACTTAAGACATCAACCAGATATAAATTAAATAGCTATCTAAAGCTTCTCCTGTGTATAATATGTAACCACAGTACAAGCCTTAAAGTATGAACCTCAGCTATCACAGCTGCAGCATCACTCTCAAGTTGCAAAACGGAAAAGCTAGCCCTGAACTATTTATTGATCACCAATACTCCTCAAAGTGCAATCAATGGCTGACTAGCTTAACACAGTAAGCTAGACTTCAGTAAGGCTGTTGGAAAGTGACAGGAGACACACACACCATTACCCACTCAACCCTTATAGAAGGAGTAGCTTGTCTCTATTTCCCTGAATACTAAATGTGCAGGGTAGAGGGCAGAGTAGCAAATGTGAAATCCTCATGCTCAGTGTAGATTCTTTCAGTTTGAAAGTGGAGCTACGGAGAGGGTGCCACTGATATACTGGACATCCATGTCAGTAATAGACAGAGGTCTGTGCTATAGTTACCTGGCTTGAAGGTCTACTAAGTACAGCTTCAATAATTGCCAGGAGGCTATTACTGAAGAACCAACTGGCATACAGTAACTAAAGGACCTCAAACAATCAACTCCAGTATCAAAAGGAAATGAATTTATAGTTCAAGTGAACTCTGCCCTTTTACACCTACGTAAGCTTAGACAAGTAACTTATCTTCTTGGAGACCATTTCCTCATCTGTAAAGTTGAGAGGCTAACACAAACAAATTACTTCATAGAGTTGTTCAGAGTACTAAGCCAAATCAAACATACAAATCATTAAGGATAGTTTCTGGAACATAAACAAGTGCTCAAAATGGTAGCTGCTATTATAACTGACATTGTTTTTTGTTATGTTTGTTACTTGGAATTAATGAGGAAGTAACTATTTCAATCAAAAAAGACTAAAGAAATTGGTGCACACTAACTTTTCGACAGCAGAACGTTTTTGAGATTTCCCTTGGTAGTTCAAAGCCATTTTGGTTTCCATCCCAGTGTAAACAGCAACTCCTGAGGAATAACAAAATATAATGAAAATTATGTTACAACTGAACTTGTCAACCAAGTCCCCACCCAGTTGGCTCTGTGAAATTTAAGTCTATAAAGGTGGGAATTCTACACCCTCCTCTACTCACTAGTTGATAGATCATTTATAGTATAATTTTAATTCTATATAGTATTTGTCTTATTTCATGTTAGTGTACCATCTTGTATATGCCCAACACCCAAATACAGGTTTAGATTAAATGGTGATACTAGCCATGACCACTTTAACATGCACTATTTATTCACAGGCTTTACAATGAATATTTCTAATAAGTATATCTTAAAAATAGTTCACCATATATCTTCTTGGTATTTTTTAGTGTAGCTCCTTTCAGCAAGAGATTTTCAGGTCCCAAAGACCTAAATAAAAAATGAACATAGCTTATCCAAACTACCCAATAGTATTATTGACTTTGGGGATGTTTGCCCTGACACATATCTATCTCCAAGGGGTTGAGAATGGATCTGTCGACTTTCACCATATGCTTACTCTCCAGGACAAGCTGAAAGAGCCCTCCCTCTGAAGTTACTTGAGGGTACAGCACAGATGGAGGCACAGTACAGGAGTAGCCAGCAAAACACAATGGTAAAGAAATGCACAGAGAGGTAAAGGATTATGAGTCACCGACAGCAAGACAAAAACAGGACAGAGCAGCAGACAGCAAGAAACAGAAATAGAGGGTCACAGATAAAAGACTGAAAGGCAAACATCAAGGTGGGAAAAACACACTGACATATTTTTAGAGAGTAAACCCGCCTTTTGGGGGATCACTGGGCACCCTGTGTTTCTTTAATTTCTTTTCCAGTGTGGCTATGAAAACCAAGTGGAAAAGTTAAGGTAATTAACTGGATAATAGAGGAGGAAAGAAAGCATCCCTTTTGGTGTGAATTGCCTGATTATAAATGATCAGCATTACATTTTACTTAAGTCCAAGTAATTCTTCCAGCATTTTACCCACTGCCTGTTCCTCAATTACTCACTCTTAAACCACTGTTCTCCAGGTTTATTTCAATGTTGTTAGGCACTGCACAACCAGGGATAATAAATACAGTGGACAAAACAGGTTTGAAAATATCAAAGTATCTGGAGCTCTGTTACTTTAGAATCCCTAAGCATTACTTCCAACAACTCCCTTCCCTCAACACGCAGAGACCCTACCACCACAAGATTAATCACAAGGCTAGTTACTTATTCACCTTTATATCTCTTGCGATAAAGAAAGGTATTTGTCTATTTTTCTGGGTTCCGAAGAGAATATACCTCTCCCCCCAAAAAGATTAGGAAAATAACAAACTAACCTGGCAACAGCCTCAAGACTATCACTATAGATATCGATTCGCCCAACAAACCTGTAAAAAGAACATAACAGTAAATATATTTTCTACAACCAGGTGAAATTCAAATACCACAAATATGAAAATGAAACCAAATACAAATAATGAAAAAAAGATAGATAAGACTGAGTGAACTACAAAAGCTTATTATAAGAGGGTACTTCAAAAGGTTCATGGAAAAATGGAATTAAAAGATAACATGAATCTTTCCATGAACTTTCTGAGGATCCATTGTATTTCTTGGGGGGAAAAAAAAGTTATGTTGAACCAATAAGGTATATAGCATTTTCATGTAATATTTAAAATCATATTTTGAGGGGAAGATGGCAGACTAGAGAAACCTAGGATGCATTTCTCCCACAGAACACCACCAGAACAGGCCCACCGCTACCAGCACTGCACTCACCAGTGACATTGTCAGGACCCAGGACCATTGCCCGCCATCATGCTGTGAGTTTCACCCCATCCCATGCTGCTGTTGCCTGCAGCACGGCTCCAGCTGCTGCTGTTACTGGTAGCCATCCAAACCAGTGCTACAGCACCAACCAAGCCAACAGTGCACAGGATCCCTGTCCACACTGCTGCACCAGTCAGCCTGTCCATGTGTGGGATGCCTGCCACAGCAGCCTGCAATGCAGTGGACCTTTGCTAGCGGCTGTCCACACTGATGCAGCAGCCTGAACAACCATGCGTGGGACCCCCACTCAAGTAGCCTCAATAGCCACCTCAGCTGCTTGTGAGTTCCCCTGCCACAGTTGTGTGCTGTGTGGCCTTCACCACCATAGCCATCACACCAGCGGGACAGGCTGGGTGTGGGATCCCCTGCTAATGCTTAAGCAGTAACCACCACATTTGGGGATGGAACTCCCTGCTGCTGCCGCCCCCTGCAGTGTGGTGGCCATTGCCAGGGACCTTTCATACTGCCACACCAGCCAGACCAGCCACACCTAGGACCCTTGCCCAAGCCACCTCACCAGCCAGACCAGCTACACTCGGGACCCCTGCCCGAGCTGCCTCATCAGCCTGCCCTGCTATGTGTGGAACTCCCACCATAGTTACATGCAGTGTGGCTGCTGCCACCATAGCCATTGCACCAGCTGGATCAACTGGGCATGGAACCCCCACCCATGCCAACACATCAGCCAGGCCAGCAGCTGGCACGATGCCCTACCAAAGCAGTAGCTAGCCTAACTGTGTATGGGACCTCTGCTGCTTCTGCCTGCACCACTGCTTCCGCCACTGCTGCCGTCAGCAGCCACATACACCACTACCACTGCTGCTGCACCAGTCAGACTAGCCAAGGGCAGGACCCAATGCTACCATGCACTGACACAAGAAGGGTCACAAACGGAGAAGCCAGAAAGAGGGAAGCCAGTGCAGAGCCACACCCAAGTGACACAATTCAAACGGAGAATTTCTCCCTGTGTGCAGTGAACACCACTGCCTTCACCCAGGGAGAGTCACACATAGAGAACCTGGAGAATATAGAAACCCAGGAGAGCCAAGTAGTATACAGAAGAAAATTCCAGCCACCACCAACCCATCCCCAAACCAAGGGAAGCAAGAACCCAGGAGGAGCCTTGGCCCATAGGACCAAGGAAAGAAACTTTGGCCACGGTTACTCATTCAAGCGGAGGAGATCCAGTATACCCCAATGCACATATCAGGGTCAGAGTACACTAGCCTGGGAACCAACAAGTCCACCCAGGGTCACGCACCCCAGCCAAAGAGTGAAAAGGAACCCAGGCACTTCGCCCAAGATCTCAAGAGCTGTCCCACATTCTCAACATCCCGAATAATCTCAACAAGAAATCACTAAGTGCCCCAGTGACTACGCCACAGAGGTACTCACACACAAGTCCAATATTGAATATGGCAGAAGTACCCATTCAGAGACTACACTACTGAGTCTACCCAGAACCAATACTAATATACCCTACTCAACAATCAATATAAAACACATCTACAGGAGGAAATCTCTCTCCTCAAAACCCACTTCAGAGTAATAGAAGCAGCAGCTGCTCAACTGGATGACCAGAAATCAATATAGAGAGAGTAGGAATATGAAAAAACAAGGAAATATGACATGACTAAAGGAATACAATAATTCTCAAATACCAGACCCAATAGAGCAGGAAACCCTCAAAGTGTCTGAAAAGGAATTTTGAGTAACAATCTTAAACAAATCAGTGAGATACAGAAAGACTTAATTAAACAACATGATGAAAAAAGAAAAACAATTCAGGACTTGAAGATATAAATTCCATAAAAAAGATGTAGCAGAACTCCTAGAATGAAAGACTTGAAAGACTTATCAATGAAATAAAAAACAACTGAGAGTGTAAGCAGCAGGATAGAGCAAGTGGAAGAATTTCTGATCTCAAGGACAATCTTTTTGAAATAACTCAAGCAGACAAAAATAAGAAAAAAGAATTTTAAAAAATGAAGAGAATCTAAGAGAACTAGCAGACAAACTTAAGCACAAAAACATTTGAAACATGGGTGTTCCAGATGGGGAAGCAAAAGGAAAAAAAAAACATTAAAAACTTATTCAATGTAGTAATAGCAGAAAACTTCCCAGGTATTGGTACAGATATGAACTTCCAGATTCGGGAGGCTCACAGGTCCCCAGACAAATTCAACACAAAAAGGTCCTAAGACATATTGTTGTCAAACTGTCAAAAGTCAAAGACAAAGACAGAATCCTAAAAATAGCAAGAGAAGAGCATCAAGTCAGCTATAAAGGAACCCCCAGCAGACTAACTGCAGACTTCTCAACAGAAACTCTACAGGCCAGAAGAGATTGGGATGATATATTCAAAGTACTAAAAGAAAAAAATGAAAACCAAGAATACTTGATGCAGCAAGGCTATCCTTCAGAAATGAAGAAATAGTGTATTTCCCAGACAAACAAAAGCTGCAGGAGTTCACCATCACAGGACCAGCTCTACAAGAAATCATTAAGGGAGTATTGCACCTGGAACAAAAAAAACAATAATCACCACCATGAATAAACTAGAAATAACAAACACCATTGGTAGAGGAGATATGCAAACAAGAAAGAAAAAGAAACTATACCATACCACCTTAAAAAACCAACAAAAACTGAAGACAATAACGGGGAAAAAGAAATGAAAAATATTTAAATCAACCATAGAAAAAGCAATTATAGGGAGCTGGGGCATGGGTCTGGGGACCGGGCCCCCCACCCATAACCAGGCACACTGCCAGTGCCAAGGAGCATGCCAAAAACATCACCTCCACGTGGGTGGCCCACCACAGCTACCACAATAACCACAGCTGCTGCAAAAGTGGCTAGACATCACAACCACCACAGAGATGGTCCACCAGCCATGGGAGTACATTGATACAAGGACAGTCACCAGGAGAGACCAAAGAAAAGAAGAGATCACAAAGCCCATTCCAGAGTGACAGAAGAAGCATCTGCTCTACGATAATATTGGGGAACCTTGGACACACCTTTCAGCATTGACAGATCATCTAGGCAAATCAACAGAGTAACCATTATTCTTTCAGAGGGAGAGAAGAAATCTAGGATTATCAGTAGTGGGAGTGAGGAGGGAGAGGGGGATAGGGAGAGATTGGACATGGGGCATAAAGAATAAGTACAATTTGCAACAATATACATACTGGTAATATTGATTTGATCAACACATGTCAACACTGAATCCCAAAAATATGTATAATCGATTACGATTAAAAAAAAAAAGAGAGAAAGAAAAAGCAATTAAATGACAGGAGTAAGACAGTACCTTTCAATAACAACCCTAAATGTAAATGGATTAAATTCCCAGCTCAAAAAGACACAGACTGACTGAATGGATTAAAAAGCTAGACCCAACTATATGCTGTCTTCAACAGACTCATCTCACCAGTAAAGATGCATACAGACTACTAATAAAGGGATAGAAAAAGACATACCACACAAATGGAAACCAAAAACGAGCAGGATTAACTATTCTTATGTCGGATAAAATAGACTTTAAACCAAAAAACCATAAAAAGAGACAAAGAAGGCCATTATATAATGATAAAGGGATCTATACAGCAAGAAGACATAACAGTCATAAACATATATATGTACCCAACACTGGAGCACCTGGATATATAAAGCAAACACTATTAAACCTAAAGAAAGAGATAGACCCCAATATGATAATAGTTCGGGACCTAAACACACCTCTCTCAGCATTAGATAGATCATTTAGGCAACAAATCAACAGAGAAACACAGGATTTAAACTACAGTTCAGACCAACTGAACTTGGCAGACATCTATAGAACATTTCATCCAACAACTACTGAATATACATTCTTCTCATCAGTAGATGGAATATTTTCCAGAACAGACCACACGTTAGGTCACAAATCAAGTCTCAACAAATGTTTAAAAAACTGAAATCATGTCAAGTATTTTTCAGATCACAATGGATTAAAAATAGAAATCAATAACAAACAAAACTCTGGAAACTATACAAACACATGGAAATAAAACAACATGCTCCTGAATGACCCGTGGGTCCAAGAAGAAACTAAAGAGGAAATCAAAAAAATTTCTTGACACTAATGAAAATAAAGACACATTATACCAAACCCTGTGGGATACAGCAAAAGCAGTAGTAAGAGGAAGTTTATTGCAATAAATACTTATGTCAAAAGAATAGAAAGTTTTCAAATAAACAACCTAAAGCTACACCTCCAGTAACTAGAAAAACAAGAATGATCCAACTCCAAAATTAATAGACGGGAAGACATAATTAAGATCAGAGAAGAATTAAATGGAGACTCAAAAACTGATAAAAAAAAAAAATCAGTGAAACAAAAAGTTGTTTTTTTGAGAAGATAAACAGAAGAGACGAACCATTAGCAATACTAACTAAAAAAAAGAGAAGACTCAACAACCATCGGAAACGAAAGAGGAGACATTACAACTGATACCACAGAAAAACATAGAATCATTAGAGACTAAAACGAACAACTACATGCCAGCAAATTTGAAAACCTGGAGGAAATGGATAAATTTCTCAACATATATAAATTACCAAGACTGAACCAAGAGGACATAGAAAAAAACCTCATACAGACCAATAACAAGCAATGGGACTGAAGCAGTAATCAGCAGTCTCCCAACAAAGAAAAGAGCCCAGGACCAGATGGCTTTACTGCTGAAGTCTACCAAACCTTTAAAGAGGAATTAATACTAATCATCTTCAAACTGTTCCAAAAAATTGAAACAAGCCATTCTCCCAAACTCATTCTATGAGGTCAGCATCACCCTGATACCAAAACCAGACAAAGATACAACAAAAAAGAAAACTACAGGCCAATATCTTTGATGAACATAAATGTAAAAATCCTCAACAAAATATTAGCAATCAGAATACAGCATAAAAAAAATTATACACCATGATCAAGTGGGATTCATCCAAGAGATGCAACAATGGTTCAACATACGAAAGTCAATAAATGTGATACACTGCATCAACCAAATCAAGGACAAAAATCATATGATTATCTCAAGAGATGCTGGAAAAACATTTGACAAAATTCAACATCCTTTCATGATAAAGAATCTTAGCAAATTAAGCATAGAAGGAAAGTATCTCAACACAATGAAAGCCATATATGACAAACCCACTGCCAATATCATCCTGAATGGGTAAAACCTGAAAGCTTTTTCCTTAAAGACAGGAACAAGACAAGGACGCCTGCTATCACCACTCCTATTTAACATAGTATTGGAAGTACTAGCCAGCACAATCAGGCAAGAGAAAGAAAGAAAGGGCATCCAGATAAGAAAAGACAAAGTCAAACTGTCCCTTGTTTGCAGATAATATGATCCTGCATATAGAAAAACCTAAAGACTCTACGAAAAAATTCTTAGAGCCAATTAATAATTTCAGCAAAGATGCAAGATACAAATCAATACCCAAAAATCAGTAGCATTTTTATACTCCAATGATGAACTACCAGAAAAAGAAATTAAGCAAGCCCATTTACAATAGTCACCAAAAAATAAAATACCTAGGAATCGATTTAACCAAGGAGGTGAAAGATCTCTAAAATAAGAACTACAAATCACTGTTGAAAAAAATTAAAGAGGACACAAAAAGGTGGAAAGACATTCTATGCTCTTGGATTGGAAGAATTAACACTGTGAAAATGTCCATACTGCACAAAGCTATCTACAGATTCAATGCAATCCCCATCGAAATACCAATGACATTCTTCACAGAAATAGATAAACAATTCTAACATTTATATGGAACAACAAAAGACCACAAATAGCCAAAGCAATCCTGAGCAAACAAAGTAAAGATGGAGGCATAACACTACCTGACTCCAAATTATACTACAAAGCTACTGTAAACAAAACAGCATGGTACTGGCATGAAAACAGATACTCGGACCAATGGAACAGAACAGCAAACCCAGAAATCAACCCACATATTGACAGCCTCTTTAATAAATGGTGCTGGGAAAACTGGAAATCCATATGTAGAAAAATGAAACCAGACCCGCACCTCTCACCATATACCAAAATTAACTCAAAATGGATTAAAGACTTAAACACCTGAAACTATAAAACTCCTAAAAGAAAACAGGAGAAACACTTAATGAAGTAGGACTGGGCAAATACTTTATGAATATGACCCCAAAAGCATAGGCAACAAAATAAAAAATAAACAAATGGGATTATATCAAACTAAAACCTTCTACAAAGCAAAAGAAATAAGTAACAGCGAAAAGACCACCTACAGAATGGGAGAAAATATTTGCAAACTATGCATCCAACAAGGGATTAATATCCAGAATATACAAAGTACTCAAACAACTCAACAGTAAGAAAACAAGTAACCCAATTAAAAAATGGGCAAAAGAACTGAACAGACATTTCTCATATGAAGATATACAAATGGCCAAAAGACACATGAGAAAATGGCCAACATCACTCAGCACCCAGGAAATGCAAACCAAAACCCCACTGAGATATCATCTCACCCCAGTTAAATTGGCTATTATCAAAAAGACAGAGAATAACAAATGCTGGGGAGGATGTGGAGAAAGGGGAACCTTCTTACACTGTTGGTGGGACTATAAACTAATGCAGCCATTATGGAAAACAGTATGGAAGGTCCTCAAACAACTACAGATAGAACTGCCATATGATCCAGCAATCCCATTGCCGGGTATATACCCAAAGGAATGGAAATCATTATGTCAAAGGGATACCTGCACTCCTATGTTTATTGCAGCTCTATTTACACTATCCAAGAGTTGGAATCAACCTAAATGTCCACTGACAGATGATTGGATAAGGAAAATGTGGTATATATACTCAATGGAATACTACTCTGCCATGAGAAAGAATGAAATTCTGCCATTTGCTGCAACATGGATAAACTTAGAGAAAATTATGTTAAGTGAAATAAGCCAGGCACAAAAAGAGAAATACTGAATGTTCTCATTCCTAAGTTGGGGGGAGGAAGGGAGGGAGAGAGGAAGAAAAGAAGGATCACAATAATACATTAAACTTTCAAAAAACCCCAAAGAGAACAGAACTGTGGTTATTAGAGGTAGCAAAGGGGGGGAGGGTGGCGAGAAACTAGTTAAAGGTCACAAAGATTGATTACATTTTTAAAATATGAGTATATAGTTATCCTGATTTGATCACCACAGATTGTACACATGTATTGACACTTGATTCTGTACCCCACAAATATATACAATCATCTTTCAATAAAAAACTATCAAAAATAAATAAAATAATATTTTGAATTATAAGAATATAAACAAAGGTTCTAAAATGACTTTCAAGCTCTACTTGGCATTTGCATACACACAATATCCTCTCCTTTATATCCTTATATAAATAATGTGGCTTCTATTTTAGATTCACATGAATAAAGGTTTCTGGTGCAAATAGACAACTTGCAAAACCATTAGTTCAGTTCTCACACTTAAGCATGTATCAGAATCACTGGAGGGCTTACTAAGCTACAGATTTCTGGGCCCCATCCTTGAGCTTCTTGCTCAAGGTTCCCAGGTGATGCTGATGCTGCTGGCTTGGTACTACCCTTTAAACCACAGCATTAGTCTTAGACAGTGAACACTTGAGTATTATCTTAGAAATGACCAGCCTCTGTGTTACAGCTGATCTCAATACTGAGCCTGACCCAATAAATATGTCTAGGCACATGGTAACCTGCATGTCTGTAAAATGGGGTAAAAGGACCTGATCCCTCCTTAACAAGAGTGTAATGAGCATTTTATAATTTGCATTGTAAACAGCAGGGGTTTTTTTCCCCCAGGAAAATAGAAATATTTTATATTACTATATACACAAAATATAAAGGTCTGCTCATTCATTCGATATATATTAATTGTGCCAGTACCGTGCTAGGTGCTGAAGATACAATAATAAGCAAAAAAGACCTGTTCCTTGCCCTGAGAAAGACAAGTAAACAGGCAATTACAATGCATTGATTACCACTAGGGAGGTGGAAGTACAAGGTATTCTGAAGTCACATAGCAAGAGATTCAATCAAGTCTAGGAAAATTAGTAATAACCTTCCATGACCTAAAATTCTCCTTCATACTTAAGGCAACTGAGAAATTTGGGGGTTTCCCTACAAATATGCAAGGGTATATATACAGATTTCTTCTAACTCAGGCAGAATAAGTCACTCCCTTTTCTGTGATTCCATGGACCTTGCACTCATCTCTATTATCACACTGTACTGGAAGCTTAGCTTTACTCTTTTATTTCCTTTGCTCTCTGTGAGCTCCTTGAAGGCAGAGAATAGCTTTTTTACTCTGTGGTCCTAGTTAATAGTATCAAAGTGGATATGTGAGAGTAAGGAAAACAGGAAAGAAGGAATGATGGGAAGGAGTAAGGGCATTGTTCTTGCAGTAGAATGAATACTTTGTTTTTCCACTACTAGGTGTTACTGTAAACCACATCTAACCACTTGGTTCCCCATTATGACCAACAGAATGCATTAGCAAGATGGCTGGCATGGGTAATTCCTGCTATTTGTAAAGGGTGGAACAGAATGAAATTAATTGGCCTACATGGGAATCAACCCTAAGAAAGGTAAACCCTGTTACTCTACCCTCATTAGCACCATGCCCTAATGAACCAAACTAACCAGTCTTAAAATGAAATGCCCAATTTTTGACAACCCACAGTGACTGTTAATCAGCAAACCTACTCCAGACAGCCTAAATACAGGAAAATAGAGGAAATTACATCATTTTACTGCTCCCTCAACTTAAATGTTTACTGTGGATGAGAAACAGCCTACATGCAATCCTCAGTTTATCATGATCATTGTAAGAAAGGATATAGAGTGCCTACCTACTAACTGCATGACCCCATATCCTCTTCTCTCTTTAAGGTTGGATGGCATTTAAAAGGGTTTATTTTTGTTTTAATTAACTCTAGTTACTACATCAGTCCGATACATCTGCCTTACAGGATAAAAATTTTAAAATTTGATAGATGGCCATGTTTACAAGTAACAAAAATAAAAGAAAATACAGAGGATGCCTAGGCCCACAATGATTTATCTTAGGCTGGTAGTGAGCAAGGCTGTTTTGATTCATTTCCCTGCCAGAAAGAAGGAACAGCTCATAAAAACATAAATGAGAGTAGGCTGGTAAGTGGTGGGTGTTTCTTTGCAGTACTGGTGGCAAAGAGAAGCAGAGCTCACAGATAGCAGTAAAATGAAATGAGGTGATTCTTACTTGTAGAGGTCAGGTTGTGGCTGTTCACATTCAATTGTTGCTTGAAGGGTATCAATGGATTCAGCTGTAGACAGTGCAATGGTATCACGTACTGCATAATGTGTCTAGATGAAAACAGAAGCAAAAGCAAAAACAAAAACAAGTGTTTCTTTTCATAATCATACACCCACCTGATTTCAGGAACACAGTATGTTTTAGTAAAAGGCATTGGCAGAATTATACAAATATTGATGCACATTTCCACCAAATAAGTTTTATGGTATTATCCTAAAAATATATTACAATTAGAAAGATAACCCTGCTGCAAGGGAATTTCAAAGATAATGCAAAAACTGAAAGTTCTTCTTGATACTGACAGCTGAGAGGATTCCATTTGCAGCATGCATATAATTAACCAAAAACCCCATGAAAAATTTAATACATTTTTTTTCCTATTTATAGCACTGAGACTCATTATTTTGCTCATTATAGTGTATGGTTATATAGACATATACACATAATGAATTGAATATAACCCTTGTGGTCATAAGAATGCTAAGTTTTGCCAAGAGCAAGGAAAAAATCATTAATAGTTCTATTATACAAATAGCTTAATTAATGATCTTGAAAATGCTCAACATGGCTATATTTTGTATGAGGGGCAGGAAGATGGCAGGGAGATGATGTTTCTTGCATTAGTCAGACAGTTAGAATATTCTACTAGTGTATATTATGCACTTGATTCATCCAGAACTTAAGGCAGGCTCCAATGAACCTGTTTATAAATCATCAAACAAAGGCTAATGCAGATTCAAAGAGTGCACTGCTTACGCAGGAGGGAAAGCTGTTGCCATGGTCTTTGGCGAATATTACAGAACAGCCTGAGCTATATTTAAAACTATCTCCTGATTTTGAAAACCTTTGTACTTTTAGTCGATTTAATCAGATCGACTTAATTGAAAAAAGAAACTACCTGTAAGTTTTCTTCCTCTAATCAACTTTTTCACGATTAGGGAATCTTTAGGTAGATTTCCCAATTTTCGGCTTCACTTTCCCTAAAATATAACCTTTGTTTTTGAACAGTTTAAATGTTACTAGTTCGTCACAATGCCCTCGAAATATAGAATTAGTCATCTAACAGGTAAAGTTCCTTTTTCACATACTGAGTCCTGGTCAACTCCAGAGAGAATAAGCAAGCAGAGAGGGCCTTCGAGAATATACTCAGAGGTGAGCACATCCTCCTTAAAGGTAGCATAAAGAAGATACATCTTCATGCCCTCTGCACCTCTGGGTGATGGCCAAGAAATGACTGTGCCAGAAAATACCAGGGAATTAAGTTATCCCCCAGTCTCACCAAATTTAACTTAATACACATGTAATTCTTTCTAGTTGTCATAAAGCAAGCATTTGCCAAACTACACCCTAAGGTATTAAAAAAAGCAATAAAATTACTCCAAGTTAGATTTCCTACATGCCAGGAAAAAAACATTTTTTCAAGAAAAGATATATCACTTTTAGAATAAAAAATAGACTGAACTGTAAGGTTATAGTGCCTGAAGTTATTTTGCTTTTATTTTATTTTATTTTTTTAGGTGGCTGGCCAGTACAGGTACCAGAAGTTATTTTTATAGTTATGTAGTTTCATTCTACAATTACTACCATTTAAAAGAGCCTAAGTAAAATATTAAATTCAAGTAGTGCTATAAAAGTTATGGTGCTTTTACTTGGGAACATGATTTTTCCCCACCCAACACCATCCTTTTCCTTAAAGATGAGTATTCGCTTAGAAGTTAAAAAAAAAACAAAAAAAAAACAATTATATAAAGCTATCTTCAGATGCAAAACCTACATAATTAGGAAAAAATAAGATTGGGGGTGGTAAGAAGCAGTATTGTGCGATTAGTATCATCAGCTCAAAATGTTTAGACAAGGTTTAGTCTCTATTACCTTGCAATTGGATTCCCCATCAAGACTGGCTGTAGTGACATAACAGATTCCATCACTGTTGCAGGATGATAGAAGAATAAGATCACAGGGAAAGGTTTCATCCGCCTGTACTTCTACTACATCACCAACCTAGAATGGAAACAAAAAGTATTTTAAAATCCAAACAAAGCATTCACTATATCTCACACTAAAGTTAAAACATTAGCAGGGGGCATCTCTTGCTCAAAGGCTTTGAAATTATCTTATCCTATGCCACGTAAAAGGTGATGAAAGCATATTACTCAATATTCAGAATCTTCTTTAAGAGCACAAGGACTCCGGATGCTTTCAGATTACCTCAGCGCTGACCTTTACCTCTAATAAGTGATTCTGACACGGCTGTTTGATAAGACAATGACCGTTATCACATCATGAATGGATCAAGAAAATCTACATGCTGCAAGTTGGGTACTTTGTGAACACTGAGCAGCCACATTTCCACTGTGTACCATATTTTGCCTGCCATGTGATAACAGCTATGATTGTTGGGTGCCAGTTCCTTCTCCATTGCTTAGAAAACCTCAGTTCATTAGAGAGGCACAGATTTTTTTCCATAACATTTGGGGAAAAAGTTTTTTTTCTGTAAGTCACTTTCCAAGACTTCATCTGCTATTAGAAGAATCAATCAATACAGCAATGAGAAACAATTCCTATCAGCAAGTACCCAAAGCTCAAGTGGAGGAAAAACATGACAGAAGAAACCATGAATAATTTAATAATGTAGAGAGTAAATCATAATGTTAAAAGCTTGAACTTTTTAACCTGAGTTCAAGTCCCAACTCCACCATATAAATATAAGACCTTGGGTAAGTGTCTTAGACGACTGCAACCACCTCAGCAGATTGATGTGAGCATGAAATGATGGTACAAGCATTAAGCAATGTGCCTGGTACATACTAACCATTTGATAGGTGTTAATTATAATTATTGCTAATACCCTGCTATTACTCTACTCCCAACTTATAAATAGTCATAACATTTTATTGGAAGGATGTAAGAAATCCTCCAGTCTGGTGCTTCCCAACATTTTTCATGCCATGGTTTATATAGAAAATGATAAATAATACTATTGCACAGAACCCTAAGGTAAAGGTAGGAGGCTGCTAGTAGCAAAGACAATCTACTTTAGGAGGAAGTCAGTATCTCGCACACTGATTTGGACACATTGACTGTGAAATACTTAACCAATTCATGAAACACCTGTCTTCTATTTGCAATATAATTTGGCAGATAAAGATGAGGATTTCAAGACCTATTCAGGAATAATTTTATTTTCTTTGCCAATCTTAACCAGTAGCCAAGAGCAACAGCATCAATAACTGAATTAATTTATAAATAATATTGTCGCATCTTTCCTTCCTCACTTATATAAACACTTATGTTGCTTTCATAAACCCACAATCTATGCTTAAACATGCAGAAGAAAAATAAGAACAAAATCCTAACACATCTTAGAAGAAGGAAATATTCATTAGAGGTTGGAAGATGACTCTAAGACACTGATAAATAAAACCCACAAAGAGCATTTTTTTCTTCAACACTTAAGATTTGCTCAGATACAAAATATAAAGGTCTCTGCATCTGCAGCGCAAGTTGAGGCTGGTGAGATGGGTAGGAGGCAGATTGAAAAGTGCTCGGCAGAGGAGGCTAAAGGATTTAGGTCTCACCCTGGAGGCAAATGGGAAGGCAAAAGTAAAAGACTTTTAAAGAAAGAATTACATGATTCAGTTAGATAATCAACTCTAGAGCTCTGCATTTACCATTTTTTTTTCCTTTTTGTCTTTTTTCGTGTCCGGCAACGGACCGCAACCCTCAGTGTCACGCCCGTACCGGACGGGGACCGGCCACAGGATCGCAACCCTCAGTGTCACACCCGCACCTCGCTCAGCCAGTGAGCGGGAACCGGTCTGTATGTGGGATCCGAACCCTCGGCGGGAGCGCCGCCACGCTCCCAAGCGGCGCACTATAGCAGTGCGCCACCAGGCCGGCCCATGCATTTACCATTTTAAAAGCCACAAGAGAACGTCACCACCCCCATCACAAATATTAGAAAAAAATTGGATTTTATAGATTTATAAAATGATGTATTTTTTAGTTAATCAGAGAGCTGAGGTTGCAAGACAACCCAGTGAACTGACTTTCAAAGGGTAACAAGTTCCTCTGACGAGAGGACAGTACAAATGAACTGTTTCACAACTGACGGAGCAAACAAGGAAGAAATGGCTACCATAAAAATGGATAAGAAGAAAACAACCAGATTTGTAAACAATTCTTAAAGGCTGAGTATGAGCTAACCTGATAGTTTAGAAACTCTACAAGCCTAAAAGACAAGAGGAGACCAGAACCCCTCACAAGCTCTTCTCCATAGGATTTTACTAGGTGCTTATGAGAAAGCATGGAGGCAGGAGAAAGCATAAACAGTCTCTCCCCTCACTGGTACAGGCATACAGGTGGTGACTGACTGCTGTAGAAGGACAGGTATAAAACATGCCAGAATTGTGGACCTCTCTCTCATATGAAGCAAAAATCATCTGCATCTAAGAGAAAAGCAAGAAACCTTCCCTGGCACAGTCTTGGAGGAAATATCACCATTGCTAAAAGAGAGGTAGAAGCAAAAGCAACCTGCTGTAGGGGATGGGAAAAAACCCACTAATACCAAGGACCAGACACTGATACAAGGCAAAAGTACAGCTACCATGGGAGATAGGGTGGAATACTGGGAAAGTCCTAATCTGAGGCTTAGGTAAATATGGCCTACCTACTACTGAGACTGGAACAGGAAAACTAAGAAACCACTCCATTTCCACCAGAAACCTTACACTAAATAAAAAACAAGAAATAGCACTCTATCACCAAGGGAGAAGAAAGGAAACAGAGAGAGGTACCCTCTGTGGCTCAATACAGAACGAGCTGAAAGCAGAGGGTAGAACAGGAACACTGAGCAAACCCCCTGGCAAACCAGGCCCCACACAAAGCTCAAGGTAACAATCTACTGCTCCAGGTATTTGAAGTACAGTGGGAACAGAAAGTATCAATAGTTATAACAGAAACCAAAGCCAGCACAACTCCAGACTAGATTCACTCAACCCCTAATACAAATGGCCTGACAGAAGAAGAGGCAGGCCCATTTTAGATACACATACACCACTGCTTAGTCTCTACCTTTCTTTTACGCACAATGTCCAAAATTCAATAAAAAATATGAGATGCACAAAAACACAAACAGAACCAGACCCAGAAATGTTCACATTTTGGAATTATGAAACAGGGACTTAAAAATAGCTATGGTTAAGATGTTATTTAGCGGAAAAGGTAGACAATATGCAGGAGTGGATGAAAAATTTTGGCAGAGAAATGGATACTACCAAAAAAAAAAAAAGGAAAATGAACAGTTACAAATAAAAAATACGATACCAGAGATGAAGATTTCCTTCAACCAGCAAACTGGATACAACAAAAGAAATAATCTGTAAACATGAAGACAGATCAAACAAAATTATCCCCAAATGATACACAAATGGGGGGGGCGGGGAAGGAATGTATTAAAAAAAAAAGGGCAGATGATTCAAGAGGTGTGGAAAAATGTCCAACACTCTAACAGTTATGTCATTGGAGTCTCAGAAAAAGAGACAGATAATGGGGCAGAAAAAATGTTTGAAGAGATAATTTCCAAGAATTATCCAAAGTTAATCTAAGCTAACAAACAACAGATCCAAAAGAACTTTAACGAGGGTAACTACAAAGAAAAAAATCTAGGCATAACATAGTCAAACTGCTGAAAACTCAAAAACATGAAACCATCAAAGAAACATTACATTCAGAGGAACAAAAATAAAAATGACAACAGACTTAGAAACTATGCAAACCAGAAGACAATGGAGTAACATCTTTAAAGTACTGAAAAGAAAAATAGAAAGAAATTTGTATCTACACAGGGAAATAATGATGAAAATAGTAAAACTATGAGTAAATATAAAATATAATTCTATTGTTAATCTTTTTAAAAGACAGTTTAAAAAAAGACAACTACAATCCAATAATTCCACTCCAAGTTATATACCCAAAAGTGCAGAAAGCAATGACTCAAACAGATACTTGTACACCAATGTTCATAGTGACATTATTGAAAAGGCAGAAATGACCCAAATGTTCATCAAGAAATAAATGGATAAACAAACTGTGTTATATATGTATGACAGAACATCATTCAGCTTTGAAAAGTAAGAAAATTCTGATACTTACTACAGCATGAATTAACCTTGAAAATATTATGCAAAATGAAATAAGGAAGACACAAAATGACAAGTAGTATATAATTCCACTTATATGAGGTACCTGGAATAGGCAAATTCATAGAGACAGAAAGTAGAAGAGAGGTTACAAGGGGCTGAGGGAGGAAGAATGGGGAGTTATTTTTTAATGGGTACAGAGCTTTGTTTGGGATGATGGAAATGTTCTGGAAATGGATAGTGGTCATGCTGTACAACATTGTGAATGTACTTAATGCAAATGAATTGTAACTAAAAAATGGTTATATGGTTAATTTTATGTTATGTATATTTTATCACCAAAAAAGACAACGGACTGTCTAAAGCAAAAATAGTAACATATTGTGGGCTTTATAAAATGTACAAGTAAAATGCATGACAACAATAACAAAAAGAATGTGAATGAGAAAATGAAAGTATACTGTTATAAGGTTCTTGCATTATATGTGAAGTAGTCTAATACTATTTGAATCTAAGATTAACACATTAAAATGTACATTGTAAACTCTAGAGCTATCATTTAAAAAATTACAAGAGATATGATTAGTAAGCCAATAGAGGAGGTATAGTGGAATCACAAAAAAAAAAAATGTTCAAATAATCCAAAAGAGGGAAGGTAAAGAGGGGAAAACAAATAGATGGGACAAACAATCAAACCACATAAGCAACTATGTTAAATGTAAATGGTCTAAACAATCCAATAAAAGAGATTGTCAGATTGGATTTAAAAAATGAAAACAAGAGCCAACTAGTTTAAAAGTAAAGTAAAAAATAAAAATAGGTTAAAAGTAAAAGGATAAAAAAAAAAAAGTCAGCCTTATA